CATGGGCTCACATCGTCTCGATCGAGCGGCGCAACAACGTCGTGGTGGCTTTCGTGGGGAGTCCCGCATGGGCTCTACCTCCCACCGTCTCGATCGGGCGCTTCGACTACCGCAACGTGGTTACGCCGAGGGTGCTCGCGGCCGTTGCCGCCGACAACATGCAGCATGCCGACGGTTTGATCCGTGGCACCACTCGGGTTGCATTCATTCCGGTCGTCACGCATTGCGGCCCGTGACGATCTGGTTCGTCAACTCCTCGGCCTTCAAGCATGAGGTGCGCATGGCGCAGCTCTTCCGGCAGGTGGTCGCTCTGTCAGACAGCTGTTACAACTGGTCTAATCACTCACACGTTTATTCACCCTCAGGTATTGTTGACGGCACGTGTGCTGCTTCCTTCAAGTCTTGGCTACGCGACCCAGCTCGCGCCAACGTGGCCTGCATCGACGGTCGTCGTTCCGGGCCAGCGGAGCGAAGCGGTGAGCATCCCGACCAGCTCGCGTCCCCTGCTTGGCTCCTCTTCGACGCGTGCCGTGGCTCTCGGGGTCGTATGACGCGCCTCCCACCCACCCCGACAAGTCACGATTTCAACCTCCGCACGCCTCATTGCTGACTACATGGGACTCGTACCTTCAACTTTGCGGCGCGCGAAGATTTCGTTTTGGGCGACTGCCTTCTGCACGGGACACAGGCGCCGCGTGTGGCAACGACCGATGATGCGCCGGCTCAAGGGCGCGGACTACCGGCATCCTCCGCGAAAGGCGATGGACAAGGCATCCGATGGCTCGGTAGCCTTTGGCAATGGACATCCAGCGCGAGCCGCAGAAGCCCGTGTTCATGGTCCACGGCAGTAGGCGACGAGCCGCCTTCAGGTTGAGCCGCAGAAGCACGCGCTTAAGGTCCCCAGCAGCATCAGCACCAAGGAAGAGACAGCATTGTACCGCGAGTGACCACTCGAGGCGACCCGGAGCCACATCGGAGTAGCGCGCTTCGGTGGCCAGCGACTTCGAGCAGAAACCAAGCACCCGCATCAGCGACACCACTCCAGCATGAGCGACCCGCCATCGCCGGGCTGCGTTTAAAGAAGCTCCAGTTCAAGAAGCCCCCCGCAATTACGATCGGCATGATATGGCATCTGCCTCGGCGATCTTTGCTCAAGCCATGTGCCAAAACCCGATCCCAGATACGACTTGTGTGGCTCACTTTTACTAGCGACGTGTGCCTCGGTGAGCACCACAACCGATCCTGTCGTGGGCTGCGATTTGGTGATGTCGTAATTGACGCTCGAGTGCACATGTATGGTCACGTCCGTACCATCGGGTCAACTGACGCCGTCTACGCCGTGTATAGCTCCGCCATCGTGAGCTCGACACAAGTATGCTCGAGTACGAGTTCGTGCACGGTATCGACTGTACCATAGGAGACAAGTCAAGGCGGCAATCAACGCACTCAAAACGCAAAGCTATTACGAGCACTCTCCTCTTAACTTCTTCTAGCACTCGTTGGCTGTAGTATTACGTGCAAAAAGGACACCATCAATGGCTAGGCGTCTGAGGCCGGAAGCAGGACGAGATCGGCATCGTTGGTCGTCGTGGGTGCGGCGTTGGGTCGTGGCTTGAGGCGCTGGCACCCAAACGAAGCCGTTCTCGTGACGCTGCTGCACCACGTTGTCGAAGCTGCGCTCGGGGTCCTTCTCGGCTAAGATAGCACGCAGCATGTCGTCGCGC